GGGCCGTACGGGCCCGACATCTGAGGGCCGCTGTAGTAGGGGTAGGGCTGCGGGGGTCCCCACAGGGGCTGCCGGAACTACGGGCCCCCGCCGTAAACGTAGTTGACTAAGGGATAGTTACCGTATATGCTGTGTGACCAAGGGACGGTAACTCTCCAGCCGCGTTTCCTGCCGTATAAATACAACTAAGGGCTGAAGCTGCCCACCGACTGGCCATTCGTGGGCTTTGCGTTCATATCTGCGAGTGATATGCAAAGACATAAGACATGGTATGGCGTAAGAGATCCAGCGATGAATACACAGATTGATCACTGAATCAAGTGGTCGTGGGGTTTGAGGTCTCATACCTTTCCGTATCGACGATCAGTGGCGAAGATCTTGAGCAACAGATATACGTTGAGCAGTAATGGTGCGATTGGGGATCAATTGGTGGTGATATCTGCACAATAATGGTGCGTATAGTGTGTCCCAAATCCCCAGCACTTGCGAGTGAACTATGGATTGATTTTTTTGTCGCAAAAACTATTTGTTTGTATTTTTCAATCACTTCATCGCTTAGTGTCGGACCAAACACTAAGCCATTGCTGCCATCTATGGGCCCATCCATGCGCTCAGTGTTTAAATGCCACCAAAATATTGTGTTTTGTTTTCGCATTGTGTTTGCGATTTGTATGTGATTTGTATGAAACGATTTGACACTAAAACTGAATGCAAAACAGGTTTCCCTAAGACTCTAATCGGAGTTTACTTTTGAAAAACATTATAACAAAACATTAATTTCATGTCAAATAAGCTGTTTGTGCAGCGAATGAGTGCTATTTCCACACAATTTTGTCGCTAATTATCTCATAAACTGTGGGAAAAACTCGCGTTTCGTTCGCATATATGTCTTATTCAGTGGTTTGTCTCATATGTCTTAAGACAGTGGCAGCCATTTGGTGACGAGAAACCCGTTGAAAGTCAGCGTTTGTCGCATTGAATCGCATCCCAATCGGCCCATCGATTGCCACGTGTTTGGTGTGTCGCCCGAAGACCTGTCGAGAGAGTGATCGCAATCATGTCATCCATACTGAAGAGTGGCTGGAATTTCGTCAAAAGACACCGAAATAAGGCGCTGATAGGTGTGGGCGCTGTGGGCGCCGCCTACGCCCTCAACCGCTACCTCCAGTCGGTGGCCAACGAGTGGCAGACCTCCTCGTCGCGCGACTTCGTCTCCGAAGTCAAGAAGAAGGAGATCCACTTCGAGAACACCATCGAGACGTGCAATCAGACATCGATGTCGCTGTCCGTCAAGATTGTGGACATTCTGGACCAGTCGCTGGACGCCGACCCCATTCTGGAGCTGATTAGGGCCGACACCGACCACAAGCTCACGGACACGAAGATCCAGTTGTGGAACAAACTGAAGGTCCGTATCTTCACGCGCGTCATATCGGAGGTGTATTGTGTGGTACTGTTCGTGACATACCTGCGCGTCCAGCTGTCCGTTTTGGCCGGTTATATAAAACATTTCAATTAAAAGATACCGTTCCACTCATTTGATTGCTTAGGCCCTTGTTCTCCATAACCTGTTTAGAGAAATAATTTAATTTAACTTTAATCCAAATCCAAAATAAATGAATTTCTCGATAATCTCATACATTGTGCGATCAAAATAAGAATCGATATGCAAAACACTATGAAATCTATTTTAAACATGATTTAACTAATTATTAATGTATTTATTAATGATTGATGTTTACGATGTGAATCCATTAATTAAAACCAATTGAAATGAAACCCGATATCACGACTTAAAAGCAATTATGTATGCATTTCAATGATTCACAGCACTTATGCAACATTAAGAAAAGTTTTTTAATTTACATTAATTTCATTTTATTTATTATAATTACTTTAATATTAATTCTCATAATTTATAAAAACATACAAACCATAGGGTTTTAAAACAAAACAAGACTAAACAAAAATAACTGACAAATCATACAATAATTCTCAATAAAAAAATGAATTACAAAATAATCATTGATTTCATAATTAAGTGCTTTTGATGGGCAATGAGTGACACAACTATTGTTCAATTTGCTGACAAAAGGCTTCGTAAATATTGGCCGCAAAACAGTTGAGAACATCCAAACAGATGAGATGCCGCACTAACACCAGCTTCTCCTCCGGCCGCCGGCGCTCTTGCAGTGAAAGCCATATTTTGGGCAACAGTTTCACTAATGGGACGCGAATGGAGTGCGGGTTCGAGAAGCCGTTGTCCGACTTCTGACCGCTTTTCTCGTCGGATATGCGCACAAAACAGCCGAGAAGTACGTCCATTAGGACCGCGAAACCCAAATCAATACCCGAATCGATCACTCGCTTGAAGTCATCGCTTTCCAGTATGTCTTGCGTCTCGTTCACCATTCGCTGCAATAGTTCCGACTCTTTGGCCGAAATGCCATTACTATTGCCGTTCGCTTCGGTGGCAAACATTTTGTTGGGATTCAGTAGAAAGCGGGAGGCGTTTGATTGGGAGCCGCAGAGACTGAACGCCATCGACGCCTTCACCTGACATGAGAGCAAAACACACAACAAAATTAATCACAAAATTAAGTGACACTAAAAAGTCAAACAAATCATTACTTTTTCGAAAATATTCTTCAAGTCCTGCAAAACAATCTGATCCTTAAGACTGATTTCTTGGAGCGCGTCGTCGACCGCCTCCATAATGGGTTCAATGATCTGCTGAATGCCTTCCGTATAGAAGTTATGGAGAAGCGAGAGGTACTTGTTCTGCACCGCCGATGACGAGGCCTGCATTTGGGACATGAGGTCCGCCGGATTCTGGCGACAGTTATCCACATATATATAACCGGCCAAAACGGACAGCTGGACGCGCAGGTATGTCACGAACAGTACCACACAATACACCTCCGATATGACGCGCGTGAAGATACGGACCTTCAGTTTGTTCCACAACTGGATCTTCGTGTCGGTGAGCTTGTGGTCGGTGTCGGCCCTAATCAGCTCCAGAATGGGGTCGGCGTCCAGCGACTGGTCCAGAATGTCCACAATCTTGACGGACAGCGACATCGAGGTCTGATTGCACGTCTCGATCGTGTTTTCGAAGTGGATCTCTTTCTTCTTGACTTCGGAGACGAAGTCGCGCGACGAGGAGGTCTGCCACTCGTTGGCCACCGACTGGAGATAGCGGTTGAGGGCGTAGGCGGCGCCCACAGCGCCCACACCTATCAGCGCCTTATTTCGGTGTCTTTTCACGAAATTCCAGCCACTCTTCAGTATGGATGACATGATTGCGATCACTCTCTCGACAGGTCTTCGGGCGATACACCAAACACGTGGCAATCGATGGGCCGATTGGGATGCGATTCAATGCGACAAACGCTGACTTTCAACGGGTTTCTCGTCACCAAATGGCTGCCACTGTCTTAAGACATATGAGACAAACCAATGCATAAGACATATGCGAACGAAACGCGAGTTTTTCCCACAGTTTATGAGATAATTAGCGACAAAATTGTGTGGAAATAGCACTCATTCGCTGCACAAACAGCTTATTTGACATGAAATTAATGTTTTGTTATAATGTTTTTCAAAAGTAAACTCCTCATAGAGTCTTAAGGGAAACCTGTTTTGCATTCAGTTTTAGTGTCAAATCGTTTCATACAAATCACATACAAATCGCAAACACAATGTGAAAACAAAACACAATATTTTGGTGGCATTTAAACACTGAGCGCACGGATGGGCCCATAGATGGCGGCAATGGCTTAGCGTTTGGTCCGACACTAAGCGATGAAGTCATTGAAAAATACAAACAAATAGTTTTTGCGACAAAAAAATCAATTTATAGTTCACTCGCAAGTGCTGGGGATTTGGGACACACTATACGCGCCATTACTGTGCAGATATCACCACCAATTGATCCCCAATCGCACCATTACTGCTCAACGTATATCTGTTGCTCAAGATCTACGCCACTGATCGTCGATACGGAAAGGTATGAGACCTCAAAACCCACGACCACTTGATTCAGTGATAATCTGTGTATTTACCGCTGGATCTTTTACGCCATACCATGTCTTATGTCTTTGCATATCACTCGCAGATATGAACACAAAGCCCACGAATGGCCAGTCGGTGTCGTCGAAGTCGGGAATCAACATAAATATGCCGTCCTTTGCGCCGACCTCTCAATGGCAGGGAACCAGTGTGTCGTATATGCCATTGATAGGGAATCAGTTGATGCAAATGCCGCCCCCGGGCATCAACCGGCAGCCCCTGTGGGGACCCCCGCAGCCCTACCCCTACTACAGCGGCCCTCAGATGTCGGGCCCGTACGGCCCGATGGCGGGCCCACCGCCGCCACACCACTGCTGTATGAATGCCTATAATAATTGCCGTCCAGTGGCCGACCATAACTGCAACAACTGGGGCGCCGGTAGTGCCGCACATAATGGCGGCAACTGTTGGGCGCACCGGGAGGACACTCCCACTCCCGCCACAAACGGCGCCTCAATTATTGAGTCGATAACTGAGATCCGAAACGACGACTCCGACAACGAGTCCACCAAATCGGCCAAAAAAGGGTCGGATTTGCAAAAACAAGTAAAACAAATGAAAGCCATAAATAAGGGCCTGAAGAACAGTCTGGAAGAGACCACCACTCAGTTGAACGAAACCCAAGAATCTCTGCTAAAGGTATGCGTTATCTGTCGCTTGATTTGTGGCAAACATTTTTAAAAGTCATTGTTTTGTGTGTTGTGTCGCAGATTAACGAGAAGTTAGCCATAGATTACATCGAGAAATACCAGAAGAATCTGAAGAAATACGGCGGATATATACGCGGAGAATGCAATCGATTCGTACAGAACCCAACCATCGCTGAGAAGTTGATCAGATTAACGAGAAGTTAGCCATAGATTACATCGAGAAATACCAGAAGAATCTGAAGAAATACGGCGGATATATACGCGGAGAATGCAATCGATTCGTACAGAACCCAACCATCGCTGAGAAGTTGAAGCCGATTGTGGAGCAGATGAAGAGCGCCTCCAAGAAAGCCATCGACGAGAAGGAGCGGCTGAAGAAGTTGTTCGCAGACAAGAGGGAAAGCATTAAAGACGAAGTGAACGCCGACTTCGATGACGTGGACTTTGATCCCAACTCATTGCCAGAGTTTCCCGATTTGTTGGAGTTCTACAAATGCATTTTGGATGAAATACCGATCATATTCTTCAACGATTTGTCTCAAATCAAACGTTTCGCCACTAATTGTGTTCAACCGACAGATAATAAAGTGTCCGATAATAGCAAACCCATAAAAACCAGTCGTTTTTCGCCGCCATTGCCCTCTCTGTCCATAAAAGACACTCCTTTGCCCTCCCTTTCCATTAAAGACACTCCTTTCCCATCCCTTTCCACAAAAGACAATCTGATGCCCTCTGTATCTAAGCCCCTGTTCTCGATAGCGCCCACTATTAAGGAGTTACCAAAACCGGACTTTCCGATGTTCGACAGCTCAATGAACACATTACCGTTAAAACCGGCCGAACCTGTGGTCTCATCGGCCCTGGAGCTGACATTCCCGCGCAGTCACTCACCCGTCCCAGCGATGAGTCTACTGTCCAACACGTCCACCGACGCATTGCTCAAGTCATCGGTTCCGCTCGCGAATGGCATTCAGTCGACGATCGGAAGCGAATTGTCGGCGATCGGCGAACCAGTGCTCAAAAAACACGTGTCCAGTGTTAAGGCTGTAGAGCCAGAGGGGGATTTCCGTCTCCCCAGACATCCGCCCATTTTTGGCACCAAAGCCATGCCGTCCAATACCAACACTACCGCAGCTGTCGACATGTTGTCCCCTCCCAAGTCCAGTACACCGCCGATCACTGCGTCGACTGCACCGAAAGCACCGCTAAATCAGGCGCAGAGCAAACTGTTGGCCAAACTTAAGGAAAAATACGGACAGTTATCAGAGTATGGTATCAATTGTTGGCATTGAATGCATTGATTTTTATGTTTTTTAATGACTTTTGTTAGTGAAATATTGGTGGACAGTATGGCGCAGACAAAGGCGGCGCTCATCAATAGCGGCAGTCATCCAAAAGGTTTTACCGGAATGAAGATCTCAGAGATTGTCAGCAGAATAAGTGATTATATCGATAGAAATGTGGTATTAATGAATAGCTTTGTGAGTTGACTTTTATTATAAGTTAAAACTAATCAATTTAAACAAATGATTTCCGGCATGTGTTTAAAGTCGAAAACGCGAATTCATGGACCGATTCCTACGCTGAAGTTAATGACAGACAACTTGACGGACGCCCTGAACAGTAGTCAAAAGGGATGGACTAAAGTGTCTCACAAAAAGGGTACAAACGATGATCTAATCTGTTCGATATGTATGGAAGCCATGTTCATCACCGATCGATATGAGACGGAATGCCATCATTACTTTCACAAAGAGGTGAGCCATTCAAATGTCAACGAATAGTGGCAATTGATTGACTAATGTATGTATGGTTTTGTGATTTGCAGTGTATATCGAGTTGGACTCGCACTGACGGCTCGTGTCCCATATGCCGAAGCCATGTGTTGCCGCCCGGAGAATATCCCGTACTTTAAGCGATAAAAAAAGTGCACTTTTTGATTCAATTCAATGACATATCTATGAATACATAAAAATATTAATTGAAACACATGTTTGATTTGTGTGCATAATTTTTTCCGAAACATTTTGTTACTTAAGCACCTGTTTGTTACCAATTTCGTAATTAGTAATTATTAACGATAATTAAATATTTAATTGATTTTTTTTCTCACTCATTACTGTAAGTACTGTTAGTCACAATATATATTTAGTGTATCTTTTTTTGTATTATTAATCTTAAACTTAACCTTTTTTGGCGCATGGCACACTATAATTATTATAGTATAATATGTGAAATATAATAATATTTGAGTTATAATTAACTGGTTAATTAATTTAGTCATAATTATTGTGTGGCTTCACTCTCACTATACATAAATTATAAGTCATTTCACACTATTATAATTGAAACTAATTATTATTACATTGAAAAGTTGTTAACTATACACACACCAAATGAAACTAATGTTTAATTTTAATGAAGTTATTTTCAAAATATTTATTTTTTAATAATAACTTGTGATTAAATAAATATATAATTATTAATGAATAAATTAATACTATAATATTGCCATTTGCAAAGTACATTGGTTTGTTTATTTTAAATTACAATGATTGTAGGAATATTCTGAACAAATTTGCATCTATAGTAAGAGTATAGATTCTGTATTATAGTTTTTTATAACTTATAAATCAATAACCTTATACCGGTAATATAATTATTAGGTGATTGACTTGATCTGGTTTACACTCAAGCACATTCAGAACTTAGTTGTAAATAAATTGAGTATTAACCCTGTAATCAAGAATTGAATAACTATTTTGAAAGTAAATAAAAACGCTTGTAGGTTATCATAGATCAGTTATATGGTGATCAGTGCCCTTATACTGTATGTTTGAATTTAGTTGTACAGTCTTAAATGTCAAATTAATAGATCTATTAGCCATCACTTGATTTTAATACTGTGTAAAACACAATTTTTGTCAAAATAACGCTATAAACCGTTTTTAAATCTATGTTTTGTATAAAACTTAAATTTTAGTTTTCAATACAAAGAACTGAATGGAAAAAGGGATCACTTTTTGTTCATTTATTTAAAGTCTTAAAATCTTTTTGCGGGCTCTTGTCCTTCTTCGGCATCTCTTTGTGTTTGTCATCTGAAGCCGGTTTCGGGTGTTTGTCGAGCGCTGGCGGGGGTTTGTGACCCGGTTTGTCTGAATGGGGTTTCTCTGCGTGCGGTTTGTCCGGTTGGGGGCCTTTGGGATGCGCCTCAGTATTGGGTGGCTTTGGGTCCGACCCCTTCTTCGCACCCTTTTGTCCAGTCTTTGACTTGTTTTGTCCGCAACAGTACTTATATCCTCCATAACCGGCCACTGCGGCCACTATGACGCCCACAATCAGACCCCCTTTGCCCCCCTTCTTGGCTGGCATTCTTTGTGATCGATTTGAAGCACTGGTAGTCTATCTCTTTGTATAACTGTTTTGCAACAGATTTTTGTGTGAATTTCCAAACGATTGCATTCGAGTTAACAATACTTTTCTAATGACATTCAAATATAAAGGTTTAGTAACTTTTCACGAAACACGAGGTTATCATAACTATCACAAACTTTTCAAAACAAACGTCTCGTTCAGAAAACTTATGATTTAATTGTCAAAAAGAGTTACATTTTGAATGTCATTAGAAAAGTATTGTTAACTCGAATGCAATCGTTTGGAAATTGACACAAAAATCTGTTGCAAAACAGTTATACAAAGAGATAGACTACCAGTGCTTCAAATCCATCACAAAGAATGTCAGCCAAGAAGGGGGGCAAAGGGGGTCTGATTGTGGGCGTCATAGTGGCCGCAGTGGCCGGTTATGGAGGATATAAGTACTGTTGCGGACAAAACAAGTCAAAGACTGGACAAAAGGGTGCGATGAAGGGGTCGGACCCAAAGCCATCCAATACTGAGGCGCATCCCAAAGGCCCCCAACCGGACAAACCGCACGCAGAGAAACCCCATTCAGACAAACCGGGTCACAAACACCCGCCAGCGCTCGACAAACACCCGAAACCGGCTTCAGATGACAAACACAAAGAGATGCCGAAGAGTGGCGACAAGAAGGACAAGAAACCACAGAAAGATTTTAAGACTTTAAACAAATGAACAAAAAGTGATCCCTTTTTCCATTCAGTTCTTTGTATTAAAAACGTTTTAAATTCAAAATATGTTTTGTATCTAAATTTTTGCCAAATATCGCAATAAAACTGTTTTTAACACAAAATGTGTCATAATTTTAGTTCACTACCGATTATCTAGATAATTAAACTGTAAATTCT